AGAGCGGTGCAAGCATTGCATGAATGATAGATGATGAGAAACTGAGCTCAATGTAAAGGCTTGTTACCCACTGAGCGAGTGCTGTATGCCCCAGTGCCCGCTGCTATGCTGCCACCTGGCGCAGGCTGGAGGTGTGTATTCTAAATGCGATCTTAACTCACAGCTGAGTTTAGCAGACAAATTTACTTCCTGTGTCCATTTTAGATTAGCTCTGGAGGGATTTCAAGGCTATCCAGTATTGGGTGGCAGGTGTGAAGACTATTCTTGAAAAGCTGTGCTCAATCTATGCATATTTTACAAACCATTAGTTTGGAAATCATTAATAAATGATGAAAAGCTCTATGTCTGTCAAGCTCTGTTTTTCTTACCAGGAGCAAGCAAGTGTACTGCGTAAGAAATGAAGAATATCAATAATGATTATTTCAATTTAACACCTCCCCAACCCTTAACTTCAGTAAGACTGTGTCACCTTGAGAAGATTCAAACCCACAGAGTGCAGAATGTAGCAGTTGGCATCATTACTTCTTTCTATATGGGTAATCTACATTCTTCTAAAGCTGAAAGATTTGGGCCTTCCCTTCTTCTCCCAAGAGGTGGGAAAGGTATGATTTGAAAAGCAAACCTGAAAAAGGAAAATAATGCAGGCTCATTCTTTATTAAAGCCTCTAGAGATACCTGCTAAATGTCATGGATGATGTAGTTTATGAGGATCATCTCTCTGACTAGACTGTTCAGCAGTGAAATTGGAATGGAAGAGAAGCCTAATGAAAACCCCCAACTTTACTGTGGGAAGTTAAAAATACCCCAAAAAAACAAACAACCTCTCCCCCCAAAAAACCCCAAAGCCTCCCAAAACAAAAGAAGGAAAGGGCAGGAGAAGTGAAGCAGCACAGGACAGAACCAGCTGTGTTTCCAACAATGACCATGGTTTCTCATCAGATGAAGCAAGAGGTGTTTAGCATATAAAGGACGATATATAAATGTAATTAATAAAGGCATTTATTATTATTAATTTTATTCTCATTGCAGGTTCCCAGGATACAGTTGAAGTAAAGGTAGACCAAACTTTTTGATGAGTTTAAAAAAAAACCCAACAAACCCCAACACTTTAAAGAGGGCAAAACTTTAATAACAACACCGTAAAACAATTATACAAAATCATGTACATATTTAGACAGTTCAAAGTAATATATATATATATATATTCTTGCTTTTACTTGGTGGAAAAGTAAGTTTTGCAGTTTTAGATTGTGACTGGCTGTAGCTGAAAAGAATTAAAAATATCTCTAGTTTTCTCCAATAGGGCAGTTGGAAGTTTCACAGTTCATCAGATTCGTAACAAGAGACTTACTGTATGGGTAAGCCAATAAAGCTGTCCTGGAGATGACTGGAAAACAGCAGCATACCTAATGTCTGCCCTGTACAGTACCGCTTTGACAGGAGGAACAAGGAAACACGGGTCAGAAGAAACCTGGTTTTGCTTGCAGGGTGGTGGAAAGCAAGCTATGAAACATGAACCCAAAGATGAGAAGTATTACATAGCACTTGTGCTGCAGTACTTAATTTCCCCCATGGCTGTTGGAGCCAGGAGTGTAACAGGGAAGAATTTAAAAACAACCTGGAAAAAACCCCACTCCTTTCAATTCAACAGCAGAATATGTTACCATTGATTACAAAAGTCAAAAGAGCTAAATACTTAGGAATTTGGGAAGGGGTTGGGGAAAGGGAAGAAAAAAATATTGGAAAAAAGTATTCTGGCTCTAGATGACTTTTATAATCTCAAAAAATGCCCCAGACATTTAAATGACTGAAGTACCAGTTTGCCTTGATTTAGACACACTATTAAGGTATTCCAGATGTGACAGCAGCTTTCAGCTTCAAAATACACTAATTTTTTTATTACAAAAAAAGTGAAATAATCAAAACAGGGCCACTAGATTAAGAGGCTACTAAAACACAACCCCGAGGGTCAATAAAAATGGAGTAATTTCTTTATGTAGATGTAAAGAGAGTCTATTGTAAATATGTAACTGAACAGCTAGATGTGGGTACTTCCACAGCACAGCAATGCTTCCAATCACTTAACTGTACCACCCAACTTGTTGATATGGCAGAAGCTGGTTTACATTATAGGTCTTAGTTTCATATCAGAATATCTACAGGTATTCCTTTCTATATTTCTTTTGGAATGTGAGAGATTGAGGTTTGGGGTTTTTTTTGTTTTGTTGTTGAGTGAGGTTTTTTTAATTTTATTTTTGTTTCAATTTTGGGCACCTATACTATTTAATGACTACATATGCAAGTACACACAGGTGTATAGGTATCTCAGTTTTAAAAGGCATATTTTACCTCTTTTTCATACAATCAACACTGGCGGTTTGAAGTCTTGCTTCTCCTGCCCCATGTTACATTCTCCATTACAATTTGTTATTCAGCTGTGCAGGCTTCAAGCACTGATCTATGTAGTACAGCATTAAGGGATTTCCTGAGTCAGGTTTATTCATCGTTATCTGTAAAAAGCAGGAGCGGGGGAGAGACAGGGTGAAAAGGAGCAACAAGCACATGCGCGCACACACACAAGACCAAGCTGGGGTTACAAAACAAATTAGAAACCACAATTTAGTAAGCAAGCAATACCAGGATTCACCAACTCAGTCACCAAGGAGGTGACTGTTACCAAAACTGCCTTGAAAGCACTCTGTGTATAAACATTGAACAACATGTCATCTTAGTGAATTTAAGGTAGTTTCACCTCAACCAGCCTGCCTCAGTTAGAACAATCCTCTTTGTAAAGAGTAGCAGAGATTTTTTTCCCCTAGCTTTTCTTATTTGAAGAGCATAAAACTTCTGAGACAGAAGCTCATGAACATGCTTCTGACTCACTTGTCCTCTATTCACCTTTATTAGCATAGCATTTTTTCTTTTAATGTCTGAAATTTAAAGAACTACTTTAAATGTAGGGTTTTTTATGTATTTCAGTGCTAAAGTACTACATGTACTTTAAATGTCTGAAATGTAAAGAACTACTTTCATATACGTTTTTGTATGCTACCACCAATTTGTAAAATACAGAGTTGGAACTGAACCTATTAAAAATAGCCACCTGTTAAACAGCATTTTGCAAGATGAAAGTCAGCTCATTATAACAGGATTCACTCAGACAGCTTATAATTGGTGTGCCAGCATTTCAGCAAGTAAGCATTTAAGCCTTTTAGTACTAGTTTTGAAATACCCTTAAGGTGAAGCGGCAAAGAAAAGAAGCTGGTAACACTAGAGTTACCATTTTCTTCTTGTTCTATATTGCCAGTCCTTTGGACACTTGAAAAATGAACGACTATAATATATTGCTCCAAGGCTGTCATTAAATCAATAATTTGTTGTTGAAAAAAATGTTTTTCAGACACTTTTGTGTCATACATCTATAACACAGCATGAAAACAACATGGCATTGCTTATTCTTACTGAGTGGTTCTATATCAGTTGCAAAATAAAATTGGGAAAATGTAGTTTGTATTAGCAATTTTTTTAACACTATCTTTATAAAACTTTTTAATAAAAGTTTTAAAGACCTTTTTCCCCTCAAGCATTTATATATAAAACCCGTAGGAAGCTGTCATCTTATTTGACCCTTTATTCACTGCTACTGCAACACGTTTGTAAAAGATCTTAAAAGACGCAGAGAAGAGATGTTGGTTAACATGTATTAGAATGTTTTCTCAAAATTGAAACACATTAAATAGTGATCATTGCGCACATTTCTAAAACCAATACATAATGCTTCTGATTTCTAGTAAAATACCTGAGATTTTAGATTTCTTATTTTTAACCTCTCCAGTGAAGACTTTCATCATTAGAAATCTACTTAATTGCAGTTAAATGTTTGACATAAGAGGAAAAGAACCATACCAACACCATTTCTCACTGAATACCACGTGTGATATTTCATAGAGTGACCCTGAAAGATCTAGGAACTACTCATGTGCCTAATAACCTGTGCTAAGCTAGGCAGGGCTTGCAAGATAAATTCATGAATCACTAAGCGAGCTGAAAACAAACATGGATGGTACCTTCACATCAGGTTCTCCTGAAAATGACAGTTACAGGATAGGGAGCAACATGAAGTTTTCCTTTCAGAAACGTTGCAACCCGTTAAAAGTAGAGTTTTGGAGAAGTACCATATTATTTAGCTAAAAATTCATTAATTAAGATAAATTATTTCTAATCCTGAAAGTTTTATTCTAGATTTCCATCTTCCCAATTTGCATAGCTATCTTACAGATAATTATACTGCACCTTTTCTAAGATGCCTATTGTTAGGGCTGACTTCGTGTATATGTGCTGTTAAATCAGAGTGGGTAGCATGCTTTATCAAAGTCTGCCACATTTTTTTGCAGGAATAAGAACACGTTTTCTGAAAAATAGTATTTTTAGCAACTTAGCCAATCACTACAACAAAGCACAGGTATGTTTTTAAAAGTGTGTCAGAACCTATGGTGTATGACCAAGAAAGAGCACAAGACGAGCTGTAATTGCGTGGATACGGTGAGATTACCTTCTTGGTAGGCTCCATCTGCCATTACTAGGTGAAGTATTTTGGCATACAGATGCTTGTGTTCATTTCCAAGAATACTCTGAACTATGGATGAACAAATATCAATATTTTCATCTTCATCTTCATGTATAGCCTGGGAGAAAGGACAATGCATGTTGCCAAAATGAAAATGGGTATAGATTTAAGTAGTTCAGATTTACTAAATGCAATTCATGGTTAAGCCCAAAGTTTCTCTTTAATTCAATAGCATGGCATTTTCTTGGTTAGTATTTCAGTGTGTCAAAACAGAATAAGAGACTAAAGACATAAGCATTGATTCTAGTCAGTTAGTCACTGGCACAGTAAACAGCCCTAGGTACTTGTTTCTTAACATATTTTCCACAAACCTTGATTTTCTCATAAACTTCAATGAACTTATCGAAGCCTATTTCACACTCCAGGTTGTATCTCAGTTCTTCCAAATGGCTGAAGATGCTATCACATTCTTCACATTCACTGGCAATCTCTCCATCGCTATTATCTATAAAGAAAGAAAGCAACAGTGACAACTGCTTTGTTTTCCTACATTCTCAATGCTCTTCCTGTGTCCCTAAACTCGATTATCCACACAGATGTCCAAATGTAATGCAAGCAGGTAAGCTTAGGAGCACTAGGCAATGTTGGCAGATGCTCTGGACAACTGCAAAGAAGTAGGAACAGCCCTTTTCCTGACTGCAAAGAAATCCTGAATCCCAAATAGGAAGCACCTAGCTATCTCCTTTAAAACCCCACAAGGGTATTTGTACTGAAGGAAAACAAGGTGTGGTCTTAAAGCAGATTTTTATTTAGCAAAGTGATGTTGTTAGGTCAAGTTCCATATAGACATTCCACATTATTACAGAGGTGGAACTGGTGCGGGATTTGATGGCTGTCCCATGCTAGGGAGAAGAGCTCTTTTGTGAAGCAGCTGTCTTAACACAGGTGTTAAGAATCAGTTATTTCATTTCTGCACTGAGATGCATCTCGTTCTTTGAAGCAAGTCTAAAAAACCAGTACTAATTTAGCTACACAGTTCCTCATTCTTTCTGGGTGCATCTCCTTTGTGTAGCAAATTCAGTATGCCAATATGCGAGGGAAATCAACATGATTTTGCTTATAGGCTACAGAAAGCTTACAAACTTATTTGTAAGTCAAACATTAAGTAAGTTTAACAAGAAAAGGATCTATTTAAAAATATCAGATAGAATCCCTATGTAAAATCCTATTATAAAGTGCAAACTGGTTTTGCCCAAGAAAAATACTTCCTTAAATAAATATTTGAATTATAAAAGGACTTACCTACCCAGGGAAAACACATACAACTTCTTAGATTTTAGAGCTCATATTATCAAGTCTTTTAAAAAAAAAATACATAGTATGGCCTGGTAGGTCACAGACTTTGTAAGTTAGTATTAAGAACTTTCAATTCCTGTGTGACTAGTGTAAGGTATAATCCTGACCAAACCATATTTCCGATTCAAAATATCAACAAATACATCCATAAGAAACTATAATTGAAATAAAAAGAATGAAAAATGTATATGGATTAAAAACTCTTTAGATGACTTCTAATCCTCTATTTAACTTCTGGATCTTGATCAGATTTGGTTTCGAGTGTTGTCTGTTCCCCCAAGGTCTGAAGACCTTCCTCCTGCCCCCAACTAAATAAAACCTGCAATTCTTATGAAATGCTGTGAAAGCAGAAGGTGGGACACTGACACCAAATACCATAATGCTTGCAATAACAGCAGGATCACAGAAACGGATGGTATTGTATGTTACCAGAGTGTAACAGTAGCACTGTCAAAAAATGAAAGAAGCGATTACACCTAAGTTTATCTTAAAATACTTACTGGAATGTATTATACAGGTAATACCTTGCAGGTATAGTCACAGATTTTCAGTTTCTTTAAAGTTATCAATAAACCAAAATTACACAAAACCTGTGTTTTAGATTAGTTATTGATTTTCTACATCTTTTTATGCCTACATTTCTAACTGCACTGTATTTTACAGCAGTAGTGAAATGCTTATATTTCAACCAGAATTTAAAAAACACAACTGAGATTTCAGGATACCACTGTGTATAGCTAATGCAAAATTCTAAAAACAGTAATACATTTTTCTGTCTCTTTTTTGGTTTGACTGCATTAATAGCTATTTTGGGCTAAGAACAAGATTAATAATTTCACATTCCTTTTGACTGCCTGTTAAATTACTTAATTGTAATGTAAGATGGATCCCAGATACTCCAGTCATGTCAACTGCCATTTCTTGTACACTCTTACATTGCAGTCATGAATTATTCAAAACATATGATGTGCAGAGTCTTTGATCTCCCTTGAACAAGTTTTAAACAACTAGAGAAAAAGTGACTTATAATCATTGCCTAACAAATAGACAACATTTAATCTGCAACACTGAATGCTGCTTAGATGTTGACTTTAACATTGAGAAAATCTAAATATTATTGGAATTATTTTTAAACTTCTGTATCAAACCTATTAATTAGAGCTTTATTTCAGTATAAGTATACAATGCAAAAACATTCTTCCATGTTCAAATTGTTAACATCAATAAATAACTCATAAAACAGATGTAACAAATTTTACCTGATTGCCATTCTTCATTAAGTCCACTTTCACTGCTGGGGTTATTTTCATCTCCTTCGTCCAGCTCTGTACCATTTGTTATGCATTCGATGACATTAGCCTTCAAAGTGGACTCCTCCTCTTCACTGAATTCCTCGCTAGGCTGCTCCCTAAGCAATTGTTCCATTGAGGCCCGGAGTTCCTGCAAATCTGGATCTGCCTCCTCAAACATACTAAAGGAAAGTGATATAAAATTTACATAGTTCATACTTTACAAGACCAACCCTGTAGGAAGAGCTCATTTCTTTTGTTAAGCCAAAAAGCTGGAAAGCCACTGTAGCTGGGGGAAGACCCACAAATACGGGTGTCCTCAGTCTAACATGATTAAAGCACTGACACCACTGTATCATGGAAGACACAGGGAATAGAGATTAGATAAACAGATACCACATCGTAAAAAGATGTGCTGTAACAGTAACGTAACTTCGAAATCTTTGTATTTGTGCACTGCTATAGAACCCCGTTAAGTATAACATTGCTAATCCACATAAAAATGTGCCTGGAACTAAAAGAGATCTAAGATCTTGTCAGAATAGGCACACCAGATCCCAAGCTGCAGGGTATAGTCAAGAGCCAGGCTCAGACTTTGAAGCCCCTGAAAGACTTTGAGGGACTTAAAGGATGTCCCAATATAACAGTAGAGAAGACAGATGAGTTGCCCAGAACATACAAAGAAAGGAAATATTCAAGAAAGTAAAATTTTATTTCTAGAAGAGTGGTAGCCATCAACTTTGATCTGCTTCAGCAGAACACAAGGTGCAGAAGCCAGATGGAACAGCACACTGGATGGAATGCGAGCAAAATCCAGACAGCTATTGTAAGCAGTACATCCCATTAGCTTCTCAATTCTCTGGAACGGGGCTCAAAGTAAATGGCGATGCAACACAGGATTTAAAAAGTTTGGGTAAAATCCCCCTGCTGGTATACTGTGTGTAATTGTTAATGTGTAAATAAAAATATTCTGGATCTAAGGTGCCTGTAGAAATACTTGATAAACTTGATGCACTCACATATCCTCAGAATCAGAGGGTCCTTCTTTAGCTTGCTCATCTTCCGTATCATCTATTTCAAGATTATGTTCATGCTGCACATCTGCTACGCTGGGAACATCGACTAAGGTTCTGTACAGCTTATAAAGATCCGGGAGTGAACATGTTCTCAACAGCTGCAAAGGCAACAGAAAGCCTGTTTGGTAACAATACTAAAGACAGCCTGAGGTTACAAAATACTTGAACATGAGACTTCGTCCTTTTTCATTTGTAGACCAATTTCAAAATAACAGTGTGTCCAGCACAGATACTCTAGCTGTTGAAAATCTGAGATCTTGTATTTTGCCTCTCAGCTAAAAGAAAAGCATTCTTTCTGCCTCTGCAGGTTACAGTGATTGAAAAGCTTTAAGGACATCAGAACTGACATACAGATCCTGGGTTTGTGCAGATTTATTCATTACTTTCCAAAAGAAAAATAACATTGCATTAGCTAAATAATATATATATGCAATTGCATACCAAAGCAGTTCATACTGATACACTTAAGAACTTAATTATAAAGCACATCCATTACTTTCTAAATCTGTAAGGATACAAAGAATGTTCATTTTCCCCCTGCTCACAAGTTAGCTTTTCGGAAATCATTGTCCAATTGCCAGATAAATAGCTTCATAAACTAGGGAAATTAATGACAGACTAACTCTTGAGGAATCAAAATTAGAGAAAAAAAATCTATTCAGGTGACTACATAGATCTATGAGAACAGATGCAAGCTTGTCAATAAGCCTTATTTTCCCACATGTGTAAACAGCACTATCCCTGATATCATGCTTCCTAGCTATGCATCAACCAACAGGTACTATTTAATATTCAGTCATCCACAGTGCAACTTCCTTCATGCACTCACAAAAAGGCTGAGAGTCAAAAGAAGAAACATTCTTCCTTATCCGGCATTCCACCATCCAGGAAATCCTTTACTACATATTGACTCATCACAAGACAGGTGTGCAGTTTTCCAGAGTCCTTGCCACCACTGATTCTCCAAAAAGCGGCTGCTCTTTTATGCACTTTCCACTTTAGAACCCAGGCAAGTATTGCACGTAACTTAAGAAGTCTGCTTCATCTACTGTTTCCATAACTGTACTTCAAACATTTTAAACTCATATCAAAACCACATTCCACCATCCTATGTTCATTTCACAGACTGAGGTGCCACTCAACCCTACGTAGCTGGTCAGGAAACGCCTTCAAGAAAGCAGCTGGTTCCATTCCCTCTTTCTTCAGTTTTCCTGCTTCACAGCCAGAACCTGCACTAGTTGGTTAAATCCTGCAGGAAAAAACCCAATTACCTGGTTGCAAGAAATGACAAGATACCTTTGCATCTGTTCAGTGTGTATGTTTATGATGACAAGGTAGTGGTAAGTCTGAAAAACTGCACAAAAAGGAGAAAGCAGATAGGGAAGTTCGGAACTTCCTTATGAACTCCCTCAGTTGTCCCAGGGAAGTGGTGGCACTCCTCCACAAACACCTGGACATAGAATGCTGAACGGTGAAACCGGAGGCTCTCACTGCTGTGCAAGTCCTGCTGATAGAATGAACACAGCAGTCCTACTGCAGGGCAGACACAGCTAGACAAACACAAGCACCTGTCAAAACAGTTATGCCATCTGTTCTGGTCTCATTCAGCCACAACAAAAAAAATTAGAATAATATTACTATAGAAAAACAGGTATTTATTTTTAGTTTTTTAAACTTGCCTTTGGGTCATTTGCATCAAAAAGCCCTGTAGAAAGTCCAATCAGCAATGAACTTTTCCCTTTATTTTTTGCTGGTGATATGGAACGTGAACGAGGTACAAAAGGCTCTTCCTGTGAAGACTGAGCTGACAGAACTGGCGAGTCTGTTGGTATAGCTGTGGGCTGTATTACCCTCTGGAATAAGGGTTCAGGTTGCAGAGAATCACTGGAACAAGTTTCTGATGTGGTAAAAGCAAGTCCATTACAAATTTAAATAGATTAAAACCGCCAAGCTCTTAAGTAAAAGGTAACTAAAGTGAATAAAACTAAACTAAATTTCTGTTGCATAATTAAAGGAGAAAATAGATAGCACTGTAGAAGTATTAAAATCTCCTTCTCCTATTTTAACTTCTTAGGAACATGCAGCCCTTGGCTATAGCCTGTTGTGTTCTCAAGCCTTCTAGCTTCTCACTTATCCAGTCCATGCCTGAAGTTGCAGTGTCATCCATTTTCATGTTGCTTCTTGCCTTATACTAGATTTCTTCAAAGCTACCTCAACATAATTTGCCCAAACACTGAAAAAAACACCCTAGTTTAAGCCACCCATAAATAGATGCAATAGTATCACTGATACTTGACAATGCATTTTCTGTATGCAGACCTTCTGAAGCTAAAGATCTCCAAGAGCAAGCAATTCTTCTATGCAATAAAGATGAGATTATCATTAGCAGCTGCTTAAACCTTTTCTTTTCCAAGCTGCAGCTCAATATTAATTTGAGATGTTGATAAATAAAGCAACAGTTTTAAGTAAATAATCAGATTTTAAATAGTCATTTTAAAAGGATGTAACACTCAGAATCTTGACATTCACTTTTAAGTTTCAGTGTTGGCCACTGTCCTGTTCATCTACGCACAGTGTGGCTATGTTACTACATGTTTCCTTCTAAAGCAGGAAAAATAACACCCACCATTTGTCTTCCTAATCTATCAGAAATTTGCTTTTTAGAAGTATGAACTAAAAAAGAAAAATGAAAACAGAGAACCTGCTCTTTTGGGGTGAGTGAGGAAGTGACACTGGATGGCTCAAGTACTCCACGCTGCCAGCTGTAATAAACAAAAGACTTCAACTGACCTTTTGGAGCTTCCTTTGGTGGTTGCACCTTGTCAAGCACTAGTTTCTCAGCAGCTGCCTCATCTCTTCTCTCATGTGGTGCCCTATTATAAAATACCACATCCAGAGGAAACACCAGGTAAAAAATAGTCGTTAGTCCACTGAAAAAGTCACCAAGTGCAGTAAAACTAACATGGCCGACAAGAGTGAAGCTTTACTAAGCATAACATTTTAACTCATGTATGTAAATCCTACTCAGTTGAAGCTAGTTGTTTGAACTAGAGAGCGCGGGATCACAAGAAGAGAGTACTTACTTATTCTCTTTCTCTTTTACCCACACTTCATTAACAGTGATGGGAAATTTCTTGCTCTCCTTACTCTGGTGCTTTTTATCTTCTGTTTCCTCCAACATCTCTGCTTCCAAATCATCAGGCTCTAAAATTAAGTCATATACCTCATTTAAAATGAATCACAATCAAACAAGGGACAGGAGAGAATATACATCTTAAAGATTACACTTAAATCCTTCAGCTTTAACGATTTCTTGCATTTTGCAGAAACAACTGAAGTTTTGTAACCCCACAGATAAAAGTGTATTCCTTATACAAGAAGACTGTCTTAAAACTCCAACAAACTGTCTTCTAAAAACCTCAATAACATTCTGCCAGATGTCAGCACAGAGCTGTTATCATATAGGGGAAAAGATTCCAGCACAATTGATGGGGAGAAACAAACAAATCTCCCCCTCCCCACCAACAAAAAATTTGAAGCACTTTAGAACTCCACTTGGGTTCTAGAGTTTTCTATAAGCACACAAAAAAAGTTTCTGGAAATTTACAAAATACGTTAGTGAATCAATTTACAACATAGGCACAGAAAACACTTGGTCCTACCTAGGAGGCGTTAATAAAAACCTGCACATTACTTATGGGAAGATATAAAAGTATACAGGATCATTACTTCCTTCACTGAACTAGAAAACAGATTGTAATGAGAATTACTAATGAAATTACTTACCAGCCAGCATAACAGGTTTGCCCTCCACCCGAGTAGCTCTAGCATTTTGAGATTCTTCTGGTATAGTCATGTCAGACTCTGTAACACCGACTGGTACTGAAGACTGAGCTCCAACAGTAGGAAAAGCTTTCTCTTCCTTCTCCTCTGATGAGCACTGATGACCTCCTTCAAGAAGTTCTGCAGTACCTAACACAAAATTACGCTATTATTTAAACAGTGTTTTGGCACAGTTTGGTAATAAACTACAATGTGGCTACAATGAAAGTTGAGAATTTTGGTTGCTTTAAAGGAAAACAGAATAAAAAAGTCTGCATGCTTTTATTGTAACTATTATGAAAAGCTAGAAATATTAAAATGTTAATTCTACTTGCTACATTATCATTAGTACAAGTTTATACTTGGAATAAGCTTAAGTCCTCTTGCCCTTGAAAAGGAAAAAAAAAAAGGCAAGAATGGACCAAAAAAGAAAAAAAAATCCACTTACATTCTAAGAAACATGCTAACAAGAAGGTTATAGGACCTATCTAATCCAATATTCAGTTGATGACATCCTTTTGAAAAGCAGAATTGTTTCTATCAATAAGCAAATTCCAAGACTTCTCAACAAAATGAAAATCCTTCTCTTTAAGCACATCCTTCTTAGTTTCTTAACACTTCACCGAGTTTGAAATATTTTGGTGTCTTCCAGTATTACTTTGTGCTGACATTTAGAACTGAGGCAACACCCAGAAGTGGAAAGCTAGAGTGAGGATAGAATATGCTCCTGTAACTTCAAAATTGTTCTCAGTAGACTAAGTGGCAATCTGGCACTCCCTGCACTTGCAGCGCAGATAATTACCAGCTGCGCTTACCACTTATTACATCTAATTCCTCAAGTAAGTCAGTTTGTAGCTGTGACTCTGCTTCTCCTAGGATCTTCAGGACTGAATCAGTAGGGCTTTTGCCCCACACTTTTCTGTGGGGTTCACCAATATCTAACTTGATTACTTCCCCCAGAGTTTGACCTGTTGGGACACAAACATAAATAAAGACATTTTTAGAAACTTCTATTCATTTTCATTATAACAAACAAACCACCTTCACAAAACTAAAATCTACAAAAGCCAGAACTCATTTCACCTCAATGCATGTCAGACAGCCTAAAGACCGGGCTCTTAAGTCTGGAGTTTTTTTCTGACAATTCTATTTAATAACAGGAGTATCAACATTTGCAACTTAATAGCAGCAGGACATCTTTTCAGCAATTCAGGTGCTCCAAAAGAAAACAGAATGAAAAAATACAACCTGTTTAAAACCAGCATGAGGTGGTCTTAACTTTACCTGAAATGGAAAACTAGAAAGTCTTTTGTCCTGTTATCCTTTTCACATTTGTTTCTATTATTTCTCCCTCCAAGGAAAACAGATGATATAAAGCAATGAAGAATAGAGCAAAAGAGGTTTCTTGATCTTTTAACATACTGTGTAAAACTACTATGCTATGAAATAAGCTTGTCACAATTCTTAATGATTATTTCTACAATGTGAAACAGACCCTTAATATGACACATTAAACCCAGGAAAGAAGCCTTCCACCCAGAAAGCCAGAGAAGACAGAAAATTGGAAAATACAGGCTTGATTTTAAAGAAAAAAAGCCAAGAAGGGTACAACAGAATTAACAGATACAAACTGAGGAAATCCTCAGTTTTTATTTTAAGACTTGCATATATCTGAAGTGCTTTTTATTCCTTCTGTTAAATTAGCGCCCATTTAAATGGCACTTACAAAGAAAGCTCAGAGAAAGTAAACATACATTTAATTAGGCAACTGTTGCAATTAGGAAATTATTTGTTGAATCTCCTGCGAACCATTTAATTCCTCAGCCTGTGCCTTACTCCTTATCCAAGGGAATACATAACCACTCATTACTTAGAGGCAGATTACACGGGAGTGCTAACATGATAATACTAAAGAGTACTCGCTTTATAAAAACAGACACTACACATGATAAACTGGATTTACTAATATCATGGTGACAAGCAAAAGTACTTACGGTCTGTTCCAGAGAGCGAATCTTCCATTGTTAACTGAGCTAGAGGAACTACCAATTCAGACGCTCCAGATTTCCATTTCTTGCGATCTCCTAGAATTGGCTGGTCACCTTCTTGTTGTTCCTTTCCATCTTCGGACCCAGCTGATTCAGAGATATTTTGACACTCCTTTTTTCCTTTCTCATCGTCTTGACCTTTAAGATTTTGATTTAATCTTCTCAGTATTTCTCGTTTATTCTGAAATAACGGCCAATATATATATCACTTAAAATAGTACCTTTCTTAAAAGGTAAAGAAAAATAAATGAAACTGAATACAACTTGACATACTTGCATTGCAAAACCTGGCTTTTTTGTTTCCTCCTCAACTTCCTGGATAGCAGTTACATTTTCATCCTTTAAGTTCAAGAAGCATGAAATACAAAGTAGAAGAGTATGTCAGAAAAAAAAAAATAAAAATCTTTAAAATATTATTAGACTTCAATACTGAAAAATTATCTCTAAAACCTTTTTATTCTCTCTCAAATCAATTCTTTTAATTAATTTTACCCTCTTAGCAGAAGTACCTACCGCACCAACTTCCTTCAAAGCAGAAGTCATGGAGATGACTGGTGTACTGGGCTTTGCTGGAAGTTGTGGTTTAGGAACAGCTGGTTCAGGCTCTTGTGGTCCATGTACAGGACTATGTTCTGCAGCTCCCATGTGAAAAGGCACATTAGGATTCTTAACCCCTTTTGCTATCAGCTGTATAGATTAAAAGAAAAAAAAAATTAAAATCAACAAATTAACTTCAAGAATTTGCAGATTAAACACAGTATGACCAGATATACTCACGTAAACTTTAGAAAAGGACAATAATGCTGCATGTTTTCAAACAAAAGACACCTGCTAACTGCACATGTGAACTCCTTCAATTTTATCAGCTTCACCTTCTGCTTTTTGTAGTGATGTATTAGTAGCTGGACTTGTCACTCCATAGCACAGAGACACAAAAAAAGATTGGGAGGACCGTATCACTCTCTACAGCTACCTGAAAGGAGGATGGAGTGAGGAGACGGCTGGTCTCTTTTCCTCCCAAGTGAAAAGTAATAGGACAAGAGGTAACAGGCTCAAGCTGCACCAGGGTAGGTTTAGACTGGATGTTAGGAAAAATTTCTTCACTGCAAGGGTGGTCAGCCATTGGAACAGGCTCCCCAGGGCAGTGGTGGAATCATCGTCCCTGGAAGTGTTCAAAAAAATGTGTGGATGAGGCCCTTAGTGGCATGGTTTAGTGGTGGACTTGGCAGTCCTGCAGTAATGGTTGGACTTGATGATCTTAAAAGGTCTTTTCCAACCTGGTTGATTCTATGACTGTATGATTGAGTACACTTTGCTAAGCTACAGATCATTAATAAAATACTTAAGGTGATCCTAATGATTCTTAGGTTTGATGTACTTAAATTCTTGAACCAAATTTTTCATTCAAGTATTCTTAAGATTAGACTTCTTATGTGGGAATTCTGACTGACAGATGTTCTCCTCAGTTTAAGAAAAACAGTTATGTAAGCTTGAAAAAAAAAAAAAAACCACAGGATAGGATTTTAGTTATATGAAGATATGGCACTACATACTTTGACTGTGTGTAACATTTATTTTCTTACATGTTCTTCCCAGGCTTTTCTCTCTCTTTCATATGCTTCCTTTCTCTTCTGCTCTAACTGTTCTTTCAGAACTGCGGCTCGAGCTTTTGCTTGGGCCTATAGTAAACAAACAAGCAAAAAATGACCAACTTGAAATCATAAAAAGTATTAGTACCCCACTTCATGGAACATTCCAAAAAAGACACATTCTTGGATTACTTCATCTTCCTTTCTCTCTTATTACTGTATAGATTGTGAAGGGAGGACTCCACACCGACAATCAAACTCACCACACAAGTGTAACAACTGATCTTCTATGCTGAAGATACTGGCAACTCCTCAAAATTTACTTACATTTCTTGATTTGCATGGTTATATTTTCAGTGCATAAAATTTGTTTTGAAGCAAAATGCATTAATCACAAAATATTAAATATTCAGTTTAAACTTCACAAACTTACTCTAATATAAACACAAAAAGCTTCAGTTGTCATTTCACCTCTAGTTTTAAGGCTAGGCATAAGGTTAGCTGGTTTTTACATGGCACTTTACAGATGATGGGGGGAAAAAAAAGAATCACAGAATAGATTAATACTTGCTATGGATTGTATGGTAGAGATAGTTATTGATGTAAGAACACCACGGGGAACAAAGTTCCAATCCAACAGAATTTCTGTAAAACACCTTTGCTTTAAATGTTCTTCACTACAGGGGTATACAGCTCACATTCCAAACCACATGTAGCCCACGCCAGCACATGTTAGCAGTTTTGACTTCCTTTATTCTTTTAAATCAAATACAGTTGTTATTTAAGGTACATCTTACTTTCCCTTTCAGTATCAAAATGGTATGAAAGCCATACAAAATTGCCTTTAGGACTAAAGCTAACCTAGAGATAAATCTCAAAGGCAGGGATAGGAATAAATCCTAAAACTTGGTATACTATATCACAACTTATTTTAAAATTCCTGAGATAAAACCAGAGTTGTTACCTTGATACAGTTAAAATAAGAACCTCTTGTAGCAGATGTATGAACAAACTATAATACTATTTATAGTAAAATAAAGTATAAGAAACTTTATAGATACAAAATAAATCTGAAAACAGCAAGTTCCATCTCCTCCCTTCCTGCAGTTACCTTCTGTACTTCTATCTTCTTGCGTTTCAGTTCTGCTTCCTCACTTGATTCTTGTCCATCAGAACTGGCAGCTTCATTCTACAAAGTAAGATTCCCCAGAGAATTATCACCAATTCCTGTATTTAAAAGCTGAGTGATTAAGCGCCTACTTGGATCATTTAGACTGACTTTGACTAACACAGGTCATGATTTCACTAGGTAACTCCTCACCCTAATGTAATGTCTACTTGGACAGAACTTCATCTTTGAGATTTGTGAGAGTTTCTTATTTATTTGGTTAGTTCTGATCGGGGGTGGGTCAGGGTGGTAGTTTTAAAAGATATGAAGCTTTTACAAGCCAGGAATAAAGTAATGTGTCTAATGTTGCAAAGGAAATGACCTAACAATGCTGGGCTCTCACCTGCCACCTCTCATTACTGTTGCGTGCTCTGCAGGTAAGGTGTACAAGAAAGTTCGATGCTTTGGAATTCCAGCTTCTTCCACTGTATGTGCTCCAAAGAAGGTGGAATGGGTGAGGGAGGAATATGGTAACAAGTAAGACTGTATAATGTCTACCTCTGAAATCTCCTTTTTCAATCTCTCTTACTTCTTTCTGTGGCCTCTGCATATTCCTATTTACAGGACAGACCAACAGAGCTATACAGAGGTTTCGACAGGAGCTTTTCAGTGTTTGTGACCAACTTGTGCAGACCTTTTATTTAAAACAAAAACTATTTAGAAGGCCTATTTAGTGGGCAATTAAGATTAAACATGGGCTTATGATCCATCAGTTTAGCATTTTATGTGAGTCAGTACTAGAGATAAACTTCACTGACCAGCCTCCACAGTAATTTCATAGACTCACAAGACCTTGATTTTTCTCACGCTCCTCAAGACAAACTTACGAGAACAGCCCATGTTAGTCCTATGCCAGACTTAGCCACTAGGATATCTTACGAAGTTTGTATAGTCTTCTCAGGTAGAAACATACGTGACTCTTGCTCTGGACAATTCATTTTACATTTAAAGGGGCATGGGTTCCTCTTCGATGTACTAAAGAATTTTTGCACCTCAATTAAGTGATTGAGTTTGACTTTCTTGAATCTCATCAGTGAGATACACACAGAAAAAGTCAGTAATACACAAATCCCCCAGATTATTTTAGCATTAAAAAACCCTCCAAAACCTATACCAAGGCAGAACTCTCTTCAGCTGGGACAGTGATCCAAAGAAACAGAATAGCACTTTCTACATCTACTCACTATGCATAGGATGCATGAAAGCACTTAATGTGGGTGCTTAAAGGTGCAGGGGAAGGCAGGGCAGGAACATTTCTCTAGTTTGAAATCACAAAGTAGAACATGAATATATAAGCAGGTAATCACTTGAGAAAATCCAAACACTCTATTAAGACAGACAGGAAGGGGAAGAACAAACATGAGTACAAGATCATACAGCAGGTTAATGAAAAGATGGAAACAAACTCTGGACTACACAGATTGCCTCTCAAATGAAACTTTTTAAAACAAGTAAATGGATTGCTTCCAAGTATGCCCTAGATTATTCATTTGACATCTTAAGCAGTGCTTGTTCTGAATGTACTTTATGAATGTATTATTTTGGTTTTGTTATATTATGAACATATTTCAGAAAAGTGAGGTTTGAAAAAAGTGTATTAATTAAATTGAGTTCATGTCAGCAGATCCAACTTCAACACAAACATCTACAGAATGCATGAAAAGAATTGCTTCATATGCATTCTGTGCAAGCATTGTCAAAAAGTGGAATCTAAAGAAGTTCCTGTAACTAAAAGCAAATAAATAGAAATGTGCTGGTTTGATGAGAAATTTAACTGTAAAATTCAGATGTAACCTTATGTTGTCTTGGTTTTAAAACATTGTTGGTTTACAAGCACTGGAGTTGCACCACCAGCACTGAAGTAACAAACAGATTTTGCATATTCTGGAAGAGGTGGAAGTGTAGAACAGAATCAAATGTCAAAAATATGTGGCTATATATCTAAAACTGCCTATGAGAAAGTCTTCCCTCAGAAATATAAGAATACATCCCACAGCCACCTTCCATAAGTATTTAAGCTTATTTTTCAAACCAACCTTTTCTCCACGAAGTTTTGCTCTAATCTGTTGACGCTCATTAAAGTTTTGTAGCCGGATCTGTCTTAATCTTGCCAAATACTCCTAAGGCAAAGAATTGGAATAAGTTTCAGTTATACTGAAACTGTGCCCAGTGTGGTGAACTTAAAAATACGTAAAATTCCACCAAAAAATAAGATGGATGAAAAAAAACCCAACCCCATACTATTACTATCACCATAGCAGCATTTAATAATCTCCAGAAAAACTCTCATCTAATGAAAATTAACTGGAATGTATGTTTCCCAGTTTTAAGCTATAATCTCATTTTATATCACTGAAGGCTAAAAATGGTTATATTTATCACAACAGGATTAGATACACCAAGTCACATCTGTATGTATGCACATTCAAGAACCGCTGAGACAGACTGATGTAGACAACTTGATGTTTCAAAAAAAAAAAAAAAAAACAAAAAAAACCAAAAAACCAAACCAAAACAAAAAAACCCAAAACCAGAAAAACCCCAAAACACACCAACACCACAAACACACCTGAAGTCTAGAACTTCATACAGTAAAATATTTCCTAGGAATGCATAAAGTCCTTTTATTTTGTTCACAGCCGGAACCATGCAGGGAAACTAGGCACAGTCAAGGTCAAAATAGTGCTATTTGTGTGATGAGCAAAGTGGCAAACATGCGGCAAGCATACCTCTTCCTCCTTGTTTCTGGATTTCCTTCCTCTTGCAGAAAAGGGCCTGCCTCCATAGATATCTGCCATGTCTTGCAGTGTACCCTGTTTGCCATTTAATGGTATCAAATTTAAGGTGGCTGGAGCAGTAAAACTATCTGCTTTATCCAATAACTGTTCACTTATAAGAAACCAAATCCACCAAATCATACAAAGTGGAAAGGAATATTATCTATATTCACCTTTTTAGAAAGTATTTGGGTTTATTTTTTATTTATTAACGCATGTTCCTGAGCTTTACAAAAGCTAACTGGCACTACTGAGGTCAACTCATTGCTCCTTTTAGCATTCAAGTTGGTTTAGGTATTTTCAAACTTATGGATATTTATATTGCTGCTCTTAAACAGAAAGAAACTGGAAGCAAGATTTTGGGTTGGTTTTTTTTTTTTTTTTTTTTTGAGAACTGATTTTCTTTCTGTAGATTGTAAACTTTTACTTATCTGCCTATACTAAAATTTTCAAATACCAAGACTCCATGTCTTGCAATGCCACACAGCTACAGTGAGTAGCAAATTAGATCTGCAGTTGTCTTAAGAATAGATGACTGAAAGTATCATCAACTCACCTAATGAGTCAAACTTTAGACTGCCACTTGAAAATTAAAATTGATAGCAACTATATTCAACAGAAGCAGGCTAACTCAGTGCAAGTCATTTGATTTACAAGTCTTTTCACAACAAAGAGCTGCATATTAATTTATGATTCCTACTAATTTCTCCTCTCAGATCATCATTGTCTGGGCAATAGTCCCATCCCTATATGAGTACTGCCAACTAGTCAAATAATTTTCCTGTACAAACAGAACAAAGTTGCTAAGAAAATCTGCTGTCAATGGCAAATGATAGTACATGAATTTGGAACCCTGGCTTCGAGCTGCACCTTAAGCATCTGGAAATTACTTTACAACTGGTCAGTAACCTCCCTGTTTTATTACAGCAGCCAGTTAAAAATAAAACATGTAGGCTCAGTTGAATATATTAGAGAAACCCCAGAAATATTAACCTGAATACTTGGGTATCTTGCATTAATTGACCTTGTACGTTTATATTAATGCCAACAAAGTCAAGAACAAAACGAAAGCAGGTACTACCAAGGACTCACCTAAGAAGAAGCAGTTTTAAAAAAATTTTTAATTTTTTCAAGTTTACTGGTCTTGGAAGTTTTTTTTAAAAACACCAGAACGAGCTTTGAAGAGGAAGATTCATACTTTGCAACATCTATACTAATATCAGGATACTTCACCACCAAAGCAGTGAATCAAAGTATCTAAGAATTGCTTACTGTAAGTGAAATAATCTCTGAAACAAAGACCTGGCTGTAAATCATGATCTGATACTCAGATATAACTCAGTAGATGCTTCTATACATCTGCAGTTGGGCTCACCTCACTGCAAAGCCAGCACTGTCAGTGTAATTTCAGCAGCTAACAGTGGTATTGTGACTTGGTTCTGTAAGAACAGTGTGGAGAACCACTCAAAAAGCAGAACTCTCCACATTATGAAAACACCCGGTACAACCACACAAAGTCCTAGTGTGAATGAGTAATTTCCAAGATATTTTTTACTGCAAAACAAACTTCCTAAAGGAATATTGAATTTAGAATTGCAAGCATAAGAAGAAAGAACATTTTGTGACACTAGCTAACTAGTAGACATTTTCTGTCCACTAGCTAATCTCTAAAGAGTAAAGGTTTTGGAAACATCAACCTTGATAAAGATGGGTGTCTTTATACCTTCTTCATAAACAGGATGTGTTTTTATAAAACACACTAGTGTATCAGTTTAATCAAACCTCATTTTAGGTTCAAGCTATTGAGTAATACATGAAGTTTAATTTTAATCAAAACTTTAAAGCTATGAACAGGGAAAAAAGTAAATGACTTCTAAAATTCACCATATTGAGTAAGACACATGCAAAACCATTTAGTAACCTTTGTTAGTAAGTTTACAGTAATGAGAAATGTACTGCACAGCAACATTTTAATAAAATCAATAAACAACGCAAAAAACTTACCTCCCATTCTTAATTTTTTTTTTAACACTTAAGGAAACTAGCCAGCATTTTATGGTTATGATGCTACTTCAAAGATTCATAAAGCATGCTGAAACAGTAATATATATAGGAAGACCATATTCCATACCATATGTCCCTCAGCTCGAGCTTTGTTTTCCATGGCTTCTCTCTTCCGTTGCCAGAATTCTTCAACTTGCTTTGCTCTATCTGCAGCTATCCATCCTTTATGCCTGAGTAATTACAAAACATAGCAAGATGAAAGTCTCTGAAACACGACACCCAACCACCACCCACATTTATTCTAAGACACACACAAAAAAGAGTAACTTTCTATGAGTAAGGCATCTTCAAAAAATGCCTTTCATCAGCCAAAATACAAGCCAGACTTCTACAAAATGGAGGAAAATAGGCTCAACTAAGTTAAAAGAACAATTTTAACAAACAAACAACAGAATACCATGTTGTCCTTCTAGACCTTGGTCATCAAGCCAAAAACAAAAGTCAAACCATGATCTCAGTGTGATTATTTCTGAAAATGTCTCAGCTTGTTTCATTATTGTCATCATTCGTGAAAAAGAGGACTCCTTTCAGGTTTCCTTCATCAGTGAGCAAGAACTCATTCCATGAGCTAGTCAGTAAGGCTGACCTACGTTTGGACTAAAAGCTTCTACCACTTAGACAATTAGTACAGTGCTAGTATTCCTAAGAGTGTTCCAGCAACTCCTTTTGGGGGGATATTAGGGGATTTTTATTTGTTTTTACTGTAACTGAGTATCTGGCAAGTCTTCTAGAATATACAAAGGATTGTTTTGTAGGTGAAGCAGTTTCTGACAAATTGGTTATAAGTGAACTCAGAGAAAGCTTTCTAATAATAATCAAAACCAAACCAAACCAAACACCACCACCACCAAACAAACAACACTGAAGTTGTGTAAGATATTATAACAAATGGTAGAATGATGAGTCAACCCCTTTTCCAAAGTTCCTCTGGCCCTGTTTGACTGTGGGGGTCCAGCAACAGGCAGGAAGAAATTGGAATAAACATATAGTAACAACCAAACAGGCTGAGACAGTTAAAGAATCAGTTTGGAAAAAAGGGAGCTATTGCTAATAATTCATAAATGAATCAGCACACTAATTAAATATCCTTGCATCTTGTCTTTTCTCTCCCCTCATCACTCCCCCAAGCAACAAGGAAATGAAATGTTTTCATATGCTCCAATTTGTTAAGAGGTAGATGGAGATAAAACTACTTTGATGCAATAAAACAAACACTGCAGCTCCTCTGAAAAGGCAAGATGATCCATGTGGTGGTACTGGTAAAGAAACAAACACTTGATGATCTTCGTATTTGACTCACTACAAGATTTTTACTCTAACTGTTCACTGCATATGAACTTAACAGCAGGATAGTGAAATCTGCCTGAACCCACACCATAACAGCTGACAGTGTCGCAGCAGAGGTGCTTCCCATGCAAAGCTACCCAAACCTATTTCTCTCAAACCAAATTCACAGGAAACTTATTTCAACTAAATTTTATGAAAATGATTTTCCCTGCTCTCAAGCTGAGTGACACATTTAGCTAAAACATTTTAAGTAGATTTCTTCTGGGCTGCATTTCTGTCCAAGAGACATTTTTTTAAAGATGGTTGATGTTGAATATAGTTAGCTCTACATTAGCTGTGGTAGTGTAATCAGAAAGATTGCAACTTGAGAATTTCTCCACTTCTTTAACATACACTCTAAATTACCTGTCCTTAAGAAAATTGCAGTTATTTAAATTTGGTGATCTAAACATCCTGAATGCTTATCTTCATATTTCATCTCCAGCTGAAAGAATAAAATGCAGGAGAGAAGTACTACTAAGCTAGCTATGAAAATGAAATTGCTTCTAGATAATGATAAAGTACAAATACTTACGACATTTTAAATGGTAAGAAATGGCACCTCAATTTAAGGCTAAAGGTAATCCAGTTTATAAATATGAAAAAAAATAAAAAATAAAAATTGTGGCACTTTGTGCCAAGCACTGAGAATAAATAGAAGAGAATGGAAATATGCATCTACATCAGCTGGTAAAAATACACCTTCCAGTACTGGGCTGTACCAGGAGGAATTTTAATTAGCTCACAACAGCCCAAATGACTATAAAAACCAAAATATACCTTGTAGCTTGCAAAAATGTAACATCAGTGTTAAATGTTATTGTCATAAATTTTAAAATAGAAAAATATCTACAAAGGCAAAATATATCATAATAAAACATAAAACTGAATTAGTTTTGAAGAATAAAGGTTTTCTTTGGCCACTTCCTTTTCTTAACATTATCTCCATCTATTTCTTCCTCCACAGCATACATCACTGGATTTGCAGAAGTTTAAATAATGCATGAGAAAATTTGTCCCTCTAGGAAAGTTAGAAACACTCATGAATTAAACTTCTAGAAAAAAAGGTATTTTCCCATTTACTGATCACAAGTGCGGACATGGTTCTTTGGGCAATTAGTAACAGATCTGAAGAAGAGCAAAGAAGTTTTGAAGAAACTACTTGAAAGAATGAAATAATTTAAAATAAAAAACACCCCAATGCTTGTTTGAAATCCTTTTATATATAAAATATTCAGTTTATGGTAATTGCAATGAATAAGTATCACCAAATTGGAAGCTGCACACCATTCTAACACTTGACATTTGCATCTCAACAAGGAAAACTCCTAGGAGTTTTCCACTTACGAATAAGCAGTAACTAAAGATTCTGGGAGCATTTGAGACACTCTTCTATGCTAGACAGTCAAACACTGAGATGTAGAGAAGGCAGCCAGCATGAGATGGAAGCATCTTGGCAGGAAACACAGAAAGCGTAACTATGAAAAAAGCAAAGGAGGAGGCTTATAATGTTATCTGCAACTGCATTAAGCCAAGAATTTTGGCTGAAATGTAGTTTAGTTACAGTTGATAGTAATCCATTTTTTCCGATACTGGGGAAGCCAAGGTTTCCATTGGTTCTAGAAGAATTGCAGTCTGTGAAGGACTAACACACAAACAGACAGCACAGTACCAATGGCTAAATGTAATTTTGAAACATGTCCAACTAGTAAATGAAACGACACAGAACAAGAATCTAACACATAGGGACATATGGGTTATCACAGTCCAACCTGTTTGCATTGGCTTGTTTAGACACCTCCTTCAATCTTTTCATTTTTTTCCTAACTGCACCAGCATCAGGTAAATGGTGATGACCTGCAGGCCCCTTAGGAACTCCTGGACGTATTCCAGGTGGAATTCCTCTGTAGATAAATACGTACAGCAACTTTCATTACTTTCGTCTGAAGCAGACCACATGCAACTTCTAATGGAACGCAGATGTACCTTTCAAGAGCTTCTCGGCCTTGTAGTCTTGCCCTCAATTTGGCTGCCCTCTCTTCAGCTACTCTAATGTTTTCATGTTGTTGTTGCAGCTGGTCAAAAATAGCATGATAGTGTTCATATTGTCCTCTGGAAGAAACAGGAAAAGGACCAGCACCACCTCCACCGCCATAATAAGGTGCCTGGAAATCAAAAGGGGTAGGGTGGAAACCTCAAATTCTGGTTTTAACAAGCCCTTTCAATCTTCAATTCATCAGAAAAATAAGAGCATTAATATGTTCTGCAACAAACCCCCACTTTTTTCATGAAGCTGGAAACAGTTAAGCACACTTCTAAGGTTGGTGAGCGGCATTAAGTGCAGATTTATCTGAGGATCACCATCATTACTAACCTATAATTTGGTTTTACCACCAGAATTAAGATTATTTCCTACTAAAGCTCAGATCTGGGGAACAAGCTACTGTTTCATGCAAATTATCTGTCATGCTCAAAGAAGTAGAATTCCTACAGAACCTTCATGTGAAAATAATAAAAAAAAAAAATGTTGCAAGCAGCTGTGTACAGTAGTAGCCAAGGATGGATGCAGAAAATGTGAAACTGGCAAAACAAGGTTAAGGTTGTCAGCACATGCATAAAAATGTTCCGTCTGCACCTGAAGGAAGCAGTCAAATAGCCCATGGTAGTTAATCTATGGAATTTGTTTGAACAATAGCATCAATATTCCTTCCAGTGTGGTCTTAAGTATTTTAAATAAATTCAAATAGGTGATTGCAGATGTGGCAGGTTTATGATTGCCTACTTAGAAGTTCCTGAACAGATTATATTTGACAGTAGAATCTAGCTTACATTCCGAATTTCAGTTGCTCAAAATCTGTCAATAGCTCCTTATGATACATATAATAGAAACATGATTGTTTTCAGGTACATAGCTCTCATCCAAACGTGACAATGCTCATCTACTGTGTTGTATGGAAGCTTGTATTGGTGCCTGTCAGTTTTATCCTGAGAGAGAAACAGAAGGATGGCATAGGAAGCAAATGACAGGTTTTGGTTCTTTCCATTAGGTTGGTACGTGGTAGTTTTTAAAGTCTGGTATGCTTCAGTCTGCTTTCAAATATGCTTTATTATCTGATGTGTGGCACACATCCAAAGATGATGTCTCTTTTGAAATAATATATTTAATAAGCAGTTACTGAAACCTGATCAATATATTCTTCATATTCTTGTAAAATAAACAGAAAATAAAACCTCTATTCATGTTGACTCTACTGCTCAATCAGAGCTTTTTTACAAAAGCCCTACTAAACCTGTGAAGGCCAAGTATTTTTGTAAGACTCCCTACCACCACAAAAAAAAAGCTGTGTTTTAATTCATTTTCCATTGTCAGACAGATTTACACAGCAATACTTGCAATTCCTGCACTGGCTCTGTCTGATGAAAGTACACAGACCTTTATATTCAACTAAGTTCAGGAGACTATTTCCCAGAATAGTTATGTTTTCATAAAACTACGACACACACAAACAGGCAGAAAAGAAACTGTCATAGGAATCAGATTATGTAATAAGTGAACAGCTAAAGAGTTTACTGCTTTCAGAAAACAGAATTAGATGTACTTATGATTTTTTTACCCCCTCTCCCTCCTAAACAATTTATGTTGCTAAACAACAATGAATGCTTAGAAGCAGGTGTTTAATATTGGGGAAGAGGCCCATTATCATATTAGGAGAACCTGGAAAAAAATTTCAACAAAAGAATTCAAGAACAAACTTGAATGTGAAAGAAGCTGTTCATGCACAGATTCAGCACAGGAAAAGTAGCAAAAGCAGGAGTGGAAAAAAGAAAGTGGTGAATGAAAACCGTTACTGACAGAAAGGGAAGAGATTCAGAAATTTAGTTAAGTATTAAAAATGAAAATTGCACATGATCTCCAAAAAGCCAGGGAAGAGAATCTGTTACACAGTTTCTCTTAAATTATCCACCGCTTAATAATGGGCAGCCCCAAGAGTTGACCTCCAAGAGCAGATCTTTCTGAAAAGAGAAGACCATGCCAGATAACCAGAGGTGGGGGATCAGACTACACCACATTTCTGCATCTGCTGCCAACCTTAACATCACCACTTCCACCTGAACCAAGCACATTCCTCCATCCTTGTTCCCTGGCTCTGTTTATTCGTTCCATCTGAAGAAGAAAACAATACAGGAAAACAAAATTCAAGGAATCACTAGGTAAAAATTGAACTTCACTATTAACACATTTTAAACATTTTTTACCCTTTCTTTTTCTGATCTTCTCATTTCATCTGCCTTCGGTAAACTGATCTGCAATGTGTAAGGATTAAATATTTTTAGTAACTGGGAAATTGACTATGCCGTATTTGTATGCAACAGATAACACACCACACCACATGCCATTTCATTAAAATTACTATGGGTGGAAAAACAGTCTCAAGAATCTTGTCTACCTGATCTCTTTGGCGTTTTTCTTTTTCAGGCAATTCTAACCTTTTCTTTTTTGAAGGTTCCTGAAAGGTAAGCATATAATTTGGTATTTATTACTGAGCCATGATCTATCAAGTCTCTATCAAAATAGGTTAATGCTCCAACTGCTGATACATGTCCATGAAGATTAAGAAAATCACTGTTACATAATGTCTGGAAAAGATAGATAAGGAGGAAAGGTTTGAAGGTTTTACTTCGTCATTCTTGCTCTGGACTTAGCTTTTGCTTAGTTTGAAAATTAAGATGATTTCATGATACCTCAAACATTTTCCTCCTTTCTTCCCCTGGATTCATTTTCTTCATTGGAAAGGCCTGGATAAAAGGTGAAACTTCAAATTAGATGGCATGATGCTAGAATGTGAGAAAAATTGTCATCAGAAAAAATAAAATAAAATTGTATCTTAAACCCACAACTTAGGACGTCCAAAATGGGGTTTTAAATAATTACTCAAGAGGTTTTAAATGAAAAGGACTGCTAGGATATAGGGGTAAATGCTACTGTACTTGCTCATCCTCTGCTAAAAGCTCTGCCTCGAAAGCTGAAGGCAGTGATTTTTAAGTCTGTTTTGTCTTAATTTTTCTTCTCCAGCAATAACATTCTGCATGACAATCTTTTCCCATTATACGTCTTTGAGGGTCCCTAGATATTAAGATTCTCTTATTTAAAGAACAGATTTATTATGTTATCATTAGGCTCCTTCACTTGGGTAACTAATCAAAGCTCTCTTTAGCTATGGAAGAAAAGAACGCAGCCACTATTGAATACCTGATACAAAGAAGCAGCTGTATATAATAAACCATGCTGCTTACTTTAATCTTCTCAAAACAGTGATGGTTACTATTATAACTTTTTTTTCTAACTATACTAGAACACAGAGACTTTCATTATATTTTCTTCTGGCAACCTAAAATCCTATGAAATGAGTACTTCAACTATTTCAGAAGACAGAAGCCTTTAGAGACTTAAGTCAACATAGTTAAACTACAGCGATTTAATGCAGTATCACTAAATACAGGAGATGCTAAATGCCCCTCTGAAAAGCCAGCTGAAAGCTGCAAGCTCAAACTACTCTGGAACAACAGCAAAGAGAAGAACATTTTTATTACGCTGTAGCCGTTATTTCTATTCTGCATCTTATGCCTTGTCACTAGGTAGCATCCACACAGGCTACTTCTTAGAATTGCAGCGCTACTGACTTCTTGGATGCAGCAAGAAGGTATTTCCTCAGTCTCTACCCTGCCACTTTGAGTCTCTATGCAAGTCAGATCAGTGTTAGCGGGTGAAACTGATTATAAAGTGCAGACTAGCAGATTGTTGCACAACCAAGCCTTAAAACATAAAAACCTCACAGTCTCATAAACACACACAAGTATTCCGTTCCCTTCCTCTTAAGTTTTCAAGTTGTGTATCGCAAGACAACAAGGCTTTGGGATCAATGAGCTTTTCCCTAAATCTCCAATAATTTTTGAACCTCAAGGATAATTTATAAGTCAAATTTTCTATCCACCTATCAAATTTGACAGATGCATAGAGACAACAGTATTAAGTTGCCCAAAGTCCCATGGGGAGAAGGAGGGAAGAAAAGTTTTATGTAATAAGGACAATAGAGAAAGCAACTGGAAGAAAGATCAAAAATACCATACGAAGGTATACAGAAAACTGTATCTAATTAGCTCATTAAATTAAATCCAGGAAACTCCTCTTCCAATTACACAATTGGTCTGGCTGACAACATTTTTGAGAATGACTAAAAAAAGCTTTCTATTTTTTGAAAATGTAAAGATTCTTACCAAGTGCCAATGACCTTGGCATACCTGACAGACTTTCCATATGTCTTACAGTGGTCAACACCAACAAAGGAAATGAAAACATGCAAAGCACATTTAATTCAGCAGTGGAATTAAAACCCAAAGCTAAAGTAGCAGTATACAAAAATCATTCTATTAAAACCAACCAAACAAAACCAAACCAACAAACAAAAAACCAGTAATAAAGCAAACCAAGCGTCTGAACTACTACTTTTTCCGCAGATGCATGTCTCCACATAAAAGACTTTTTGAAAAGGAATACATAATACTTTCATAGCATTTAAATAAGGTATGAGCAGAACAGTTTAAGTAATTCAGCTTCTTACCTGTCTAGATTTAGCCAATGGCTTCTTATCATTAGGCTTTTTAGGTACATCACAAGGCTTCCTCATCACTAAAGGCACTCCATATTTTGCAGCAGGTTTGGTAATTTTCTGAGCTGGTGCAACTGAAGCCAATATTTGTTCTTGAGCTGGTCTTTTAGCTAAGATGAAAAGAAAAACAAAGTAAAACAACAAACAGAACACCCAACCCTCTTTTACAGCAATCCAGGCTAGCCAGTGTACCATGTTTCCCTCTCCCAAGACCTTGGAACAGCAAAGCGGGAGGAAAATGGGCAAACTGCTAACATTTTGTTCACATGAGCTGATGCGCAAGTGCAATACACCCAGTTGTTCAAAACAGCTTGTCTTAATTTCATGCTTGATAACAGCAAAACACAATCCCTGAGCCTTTCACCCTCAACACTTCAAACTGGAGAACTGAAGTTTTTTTCAGCTGCCATGCTCTATTATCCAGTTGACAGAGGGAAAAGTTTTCCTAATAGAATGGAGGACCATGCTTCCCATCACTAACAACGCTGGTCTGCAACACTAATGTCAGCAGAAGATGAGTTCTGGAAGAGCTTCAGTGGCTTTCAGGGATAAAGTTTTCCCTGGAGGGTTTCTAAACATTCGCCAATATTGTGGATTTGATTCTGTGTTAGCAGGGCTCTCTTACTACAGAATGGCAAGACAGCAGTGAAACACTTACAGAACATTACCAAAAGACACCAAAGCACTTGCACAGCTTCAAGTAATTATGAGGAAATAATTAAAAAAAAAAAAAAAAAAGTCCAGGAAAAGAAAGGTAAACTAATGCAGGAAAACAAAGTAAGGTAAGAGCATCTTGACAAAATGAACCACTATCTAGTTTGCTACCAGTAGCAGAAATTCTACTGCTTTGGGCTGAAGTCAGGGCTTAATCCAGGAATCTCTAACAAAACCTCTCACCTTTTTAGAAGAAATGATATTTCTCATCACCCATTTCTCATTACTAAGGGGAAAAAAAAATGTTCAGTAGCAAGATATAAATTATTTCCTGCATTTGTAGTCTTCACTGTCTCCTTAAACTCTGGACACATAGCATGCTGCAACTGGAAAAAGCTCAACTAAAATATCACAGGACCACAGTTTGTATTTGCATCATTTGTACCCTGCATACACCCAGCTCCCCAGGGGAGGGAGTTAAAATGCTTCCCTCTTTCTTCCTGAAACTTCTAGTATCAGGTATAAGAACATACCAAAACCAACAGAAAAACAAAGCCGCGTACAGCACCCTGCCAGTGCTGAAAGCAAAAGCACTTTACACACTTACTTACCTGGTGCAGCATGTTGTCCAAACTTCTGGAAGATTTTGTGATTGAATTCTTCTGCAATGAGCTAAACAAAGAATTGAAGTTGTTAGCCAACAGTACGTACAGCTGAAGATAGAAAGAGTACATTTTCAGAAAAATGTGCCACTCCCAATAAATAACTAATAGCATTTACTGCAGCTTAAATTTAAATCAATACTCAACCTTATGTATCCGATTTAGTATCACAAACATTAATAGGAAGCTGGATTCAGTGGTTTCAAGCACTTCAGCATATTTACTCACATAATTAAAAAAAGTGGTTTAGTCTGACTTCTAGTTGGTGTGTTGCCTCATTTATGACCTAGCTAAGAATCTAGAAGAAAGTTAATACATCAACATAGTTTTATGCATAGTACATTTTAGATTTCTGTATAGTTGCCAAAGTTCACTTCAATTTCTCAGTTAGCTGTATCAAAAAACAGTCCTTTAAAAATATTTGCAGTTTTTAAGCTTCTCTATCCTTTTCAAGATGGGAAGATGAACAACATACAGGGCATGCTGTCAGCATATCGAACTATCATAATTAAGTGTGAAAAATAGCTTTACTGGAGTAAAACACTTAAGCCTAGGCAAAGGCCATTCAAACATTAATAGGCCATCATCTCAAATACTCTAGGCAGTTCTGAACACAAAACTTCAAAAACCAGATAGTAGAAATTAAAAAGGCTCAAAGAAAAGCAGCAAAGATGAAAGTATTGAACAGCTGCAGTACAAAGAACAAATGCAACGTATAAAAAGATGACTGAGATGCAATGTGATAGCTCTAGATTACCACAGGTGATTTTGCAGAGAAACACACGAGGGCAGCAAATTATAATACCACTAATAAGTGTGGTATGACTGAATATAAGGAGGAGGTTTAGAATAAACAAAGTTGATGCTTTCTGCAACACATAGCAGACCTGTGAAATTTCTTACTGATCATAAAAACTTACACAGGTTCAAGGAGAAAACAGGTAAGCTCATAGACAAGAAATCTGCTGAGGACAACTAAATACCAAATATCCTTCCTGAGCTGATGCAATTGGAAACAAAAAATGAATGCTGGCAGAGTATTACAGAGTAAAGTCACACAGGCTTGTCTTGTTCTTATGCACCTCACCAGGCACTGTTTATAGCCAGTGTTCACTGTTCACAAGTCATGGAGCAAGACTGACTTTTAGGTGAGCCACCACCATGTTCTCATTTTCTAACATCCTGCTTTCAAACACCTCATTGAATCCGAGTGCCATAACTAGTGCTACCAATACAGAATATTTAAATTATGGGAACTGCAAAGGTATTATTTACAACAGTAGAGCTTTTTGCAGACAGCTAACGGCCATACTAGAGACCACCTTTCTAGAGACACAACATGCCAGGAATGTGTTGCTTAATGTTCTGACAACAACTAACAGCAATGTTAACTGAGTAACTGCTAAACCATAAAATTTTAAGGAATACTCTTTATAGAATCTTGAACTATTCAGATTATTTTTATTTGCTTAGAGGCTACCAGTCAGTTACAATGGATGCTGAGGAGTTAAAGCTGAAAAAAACCCAAAACAACCAAACCCCAAGAACCAAAATATAGAATTTAGGACTCTTCAAATAATGGCAGAGAATCTTTTTAACCTGTACAGATTTTCATCAAAAGATTCTGCAAGCAAGGAGTCACACATGAGAGCGGTCTCCTACTAGTGGCATTACAATGATCTTGAAGCTTTTATTTGGGTGGTAAGATGTAACAACTGAAGTGTGGTGTTTCCATGATAACACAGCTACTGACAGAAAAGAAACACTTCTTAGTACCTTTCTTTTTTTTTTTTTATTGATGCTAATTTAGATGCGCTCTTTACTGTAACTTAGTAACTATGAAAATTAAAACATAATTTATATAAAAATGGAAGACTGATTTCCTGTCATTTAAGAGCAAGTTTTCAGTACCAGTTGCAACACGTTGACAACATCAGCAAGGACAGCAGAGGGCAACAGCATTAGCCATGGATGAAACCTGGAAAATAGGCATTACAGCTGTTTCACAGAATTACTATCTCTGGCTGAATATGAATGTATCGGTGATTGACACATTTAGTAAAAGGTGTTTTCTGAGTGTGGAGGTATTTTTTTGTTTTAAGGGTAGGTAGCATCTCTAAGCCAAAAATGTTAGTGATTCAGTTGGAAAAACTATGTGCAGGTATTTCATATTCAGTCTAGGAGAATCAGTATCATCATCTGGTAGCAGTCTATTACCAATTATACTTTGCCTGACTAACTCCAAATAAAAATTTCATACCTATTCTAGCTACTGTAAATAAAATCAGATCAAACTACTACTGTTTTAGGAGTTTGAGCAAACCTACCTGAATCTTACCTTTATCATAGAATCATAGAATAGTT